ACTGACAAGCTAAAACATAAAATAAGAACCTCTTATCTTTTCAATTTGCCGAGATATTGCTCATGGAATAAATCAAATACAGTGGCACCCCACCCACTTCTTTCCATTTTTGGAAATGCTCCCTTATATACACTTACATTTATATATGACATGAATAACCAATCGGAGGCTCAGAATATCCCCCATAGTGGCTTTCTTAGCCATTTTAATGGACTTGGCACCATTGCTTTTTTTTGAACCAATATTTCAATGAGGTATGGCGTCTTTAGTCTGCTCGAAATTTCATATTTTTTTTAGACTAAAATACATCTTAGTTACTAAGCTTTATAAATTATAGTGGAATTCTATGGTATTAATGTAGTAATTTATGATTTTTTAGTTACTCAAATGTATATATAAAACCTAAAAACAAATATTTTGTTTCATATCCTCCACGTGCAAAATTTTATAAGGCTTAGCAACCAATGTAAAGCAGCAACCAAGTACAAAGGTTGTAACTAGAAGAGATAATTGTTTGCTTTACTTCTTTATTTACTCTTCTATGTTTTAGGAAAAATATGTTTAAGAACTTATTTCAAAATAACAATAATATATACATATATATAATGTATAATGATTGTATTTTACAAAATACTAGTCCACTAAAACACAGCCAAGACAAGTTACTTTGCACAGAACAAAGATCAGTTTTATGTTATTTGATATGGTAACATGAGTGCATGAGTCACGTTATTGTAACCTCTGTATTGTTAGCCAGGCACGGCTGAAAGGTCAATAAAATAAATGTATAATGTTATGAGATTTAAGCTATTTAGTCTAAACATTTATGTTTTTGTGTTATAATTTGTGTTCATTCTAGAATGAAAGAGGCATAGTCTATATTTATTTCCTAATTTTTTATGGTGGTTGTGAGATTGGTCAAATCTACTGAACTCGTACAGAGATTAATTACCAAAAATAACAGATAAAATATAAAGTTTTTTCTTAAGAAATGTTTGATAACTATCTCGCATTATAAAGATTTTGCATGTGAAATTTTAAAATTTTCTGATGCATAAAAGTATTTTTAATCTTAATCTTTGCATGATAGATAGGCAACATGCAAAAAGAAAAAATAGACACGAGAAAAACATTGCTTTATAAACTTTTATACTTAATAAAAAGATTTTATATTTTGCATATGAAAGCACTATAATGTTTACTGATAATCTGCCCAATTTCGTTAATGTTCGCTTGCTAATTCAAAAGTTATAGCATGAAAACTATAACAAGCACAAACTGGTTACAAGGTCAGTTCCAGGGACCGAGCCCATGATGAAAGAATTAAACAAGAATTACCAGCCAATAATAGATAAACAATAAATATTACACTTGGAACCTCATTGTATTTAGAACTTGGTTATAAATACAACCTTCCCATGTCTAATGAGACACTGCATTAAAAAAAAAGCAAGCAAGTAAAGAATAAACTTTTCAAAAACGTAAGTAAATGGTAGGGATGGTTAAAAACAATGCAAACAAGGTAGTAGGGATGATGCAAATGCCATCCCAACTCTCTTGTTTGCATTGTTTTTGAAGGATTGATATTATCCATCCCTACATTTACTTCCTATTTTTAATTTTTTTTCTTTACTTGTATATATAGAACTAAACTAAACCTTGTCAAAATGACAAATGACAAAATCCTTAATAACTAAATTTATGTTGCTTAAGATTACCATTTCCAAGTATTAAAATCATTTAGAATTACTAAAAATTTGCTTATAATCTGTATATTGTAGACTTAGAAAGTTTTGAAGGTCCTACTCTACAGAGTAAAGAAATAGAACTAAATATAAAAATATAATGAAAAAGATTAAATATGTGGCTTACCAAAGTTACAGATTCTATGTCTGCAAATTCCACATAGGCAATCCCTTTAGACCTTCTAGTTCTGGTATCCACAATAATCCTTACATCACTCACCTGGGAAAATTAGCAGATGTAACAATTAGATCCAAGCATGCAAGCAGCCCAGACTTAAACTTTTAACCTTTTACAGTAATAATTAGATATAATGAGGGAAAACTGAATACACTATTACCTAAAAACACCCATGTGCATTGATTCTATGCACTGTGTATGGTTTATTGCATTGCAAAAAAAATATTAAATGAAGAAGTTTGAAACTTGAAATAAACTTTCTACATATCATGTAGCTTCTGCAAATGATACGTGCTTTTATATGTGATATTTGTATGAATTAGCAGCTTTGAAAATTCGAAACGATTTCATAGTTGTACGTTTTTAAGAAGCAATGAAAATTGCTTACCTTTGTATATTTCAATTATTGATTTTATATCTTACTACATTCTTGTAAAACTTTCCTACATTTTTTCTTTTCTTTTCTTTTATAAAACAGTTAATTTGAACATTGTTTTCATATGAAAAACACTTGAAGTAGTTTCACTTTGTTTAGATCACTGTCATGCAACAAAAAATATGCTTTATACCATACGAATTTTGTAAACAAACCAACAATTTTTAAACTGTTAATCGGAAAATTCATTCAATATGTGTAGTAAGTCCTAAACCTATTATATATATTCATCTATATATTTGTTTCTATATTTCTTTTCATGATTTTTCTTTGCCCATTCAAGCAGTTACTTCGGCTACTAAAACCTAACTTAAAAACAACCTATTAATTAATAAAAAGCCTTGTCTGCAAAATAAAACTTGATACAGTCAGATGCAAAATTATTTAACTAACTCTACCTCATCTTATTCCACAAAAATATTTCTTATAACACTGAAACATTATAGTTCAAATAAAGTATAAAATGATAAATCAAACTATAAAAAATTAGTACTATAATTATTTCAGCTATTCATAAACAAATTTTCTACTGTGTCACCAAGTTAAGTTTTTATCACTTTGTTCCAATCTCTATTTGAGCTGAAATGGAAGCAAAATTACCTTCTACAATTAAAAAGAATAGAAAAAAGGATCTTTCTTTACATGTTCAGATCACTAATCTGTTATTTCTCAAGCCTGTTATATATATATAAAACACACATATGCTATTACATCACACTGAGGTTGAAAAACAATGATTGGGTAAACTCAGTAAAATTACACTTACACTGAAATTATAAGGTTCAATTTAGCACTTTTTTTCTATTTGTTTCATCATTCCTCATATAGGGGTTTTGATTACTGTACTATGCTCAGAAAAAAGTATGGAGTTTAATGAACAGTAGTTTTCATTTGGAGTGTACTAAAATCAGCCCAAAATCAAAGCTTGCAGTGTTTTTCAATATATAAGATTAAACCAACTTTTATTATTACATATATTTCAGTGCAATGTATTTTAAACTTGTGTGGAAGAATAGCAATGGTTCTTTTTTTTTTCTTTTAATTATATGTTGCAATTTTTTCCTCGTGGCAAAAAAAGAGATGCGCAATTATTGGTATTTGCTAAATCAATCACACCCACCAAACCACATAAAAGAGGGAAAAAAAACAAACAGGTTTATGCTACTTTTGTAATTTTTATAAGCACTGCACTTTTCAAACATGACATTAACATTGTTTTTTAAAGTAATTTTCTAGTTACATTTGGTTTCATACAACATATCTTTTGTGAAGTTGTCATTAGTGTATTTTCAAAAAATAATAATTTTTGTCTAAAAAAAAATACTTTCCACAATTTCTTTTAAAGATAATCTGGATAATTCCTACTTTGCAACTGAATTGCTGATGTCAATTAAGTACCAACATTAGGTTACCATTATGTTTATTTTTTAAAATATGCAGCAACTGATCTTCTATAAATCAAATAAATTGATATCTAAATAAGGAAAACATGTTTTACTACCACTAGTGAAGGTAATAATGATTTTATTAAAAACATATCATAATTGCAATTAGAAAAAACATTCAATAAAGATATGAATTATAGAAATATTTTGCAGTCACCTATCATAATAAACAGTAAACTTAACTGGTTTGACAACTTTATTTGGTGAATATCACACAAAAAATATTTACAAACATTGCAACTCAATAAAACCATAGTATATCTATTGAAAAATAAAAACTGTAATTTTAAATTAAGAACCAAACAACAACATACCTTTATTAATTAAGCTTTATGTAACCTCCAGTTAAGACTTTCGTTTCATAGTGTATATATATGTATATATATATATTCCTGTGTCTATGTAAACTACTTGTACCTAATGAAAAAATATTCTCAAACGTTGCACAATTCTTTCTGTATTAAACTTGTAACAGTTTTCTTTGTTACACAGTAAACCTGTTTCTAAACTGTATACGCTTACTTTATATCAAGTTATTTGATGTCCTCTCATTCAAAAACATTCCTTAGCTTTAAGAGAGATAATTTAACACACAAATTCTTTGACAATTCACAAAAAAAAAACATTTACAGAAAGTATAAAAAAATCTTATACCTGCATATTTACTATTATGTGACAGTCTAACTCCTACTCTATCCAATCATATTTAAACTTTCTTTATAGTTCTTTCCGAAGCTGTGTTTCGTTAGAAAATGATCAAACCACTTAATGTAGCATCATAACAAGGTTTCAACCAAGACTCGTATAAAAATCAAGTGAAATATTTAAAAATCAAAATATGGATAATATAGTCAGTTTTTAGAAAAAATTAGTTGTTATTTGCAATGGACAAAAACATCCTAAAATAAATTAACAAGCGAGTTGTTTTGTTAGTAGCCATACTCTGCAGTTGTGTAGAAATGAAATAACTAATGTTTTCTTAATAATTTACACAAAATAAGTGTCAGAAAAAAATATTTTGATTCTAAAATATTTTGGAGTTATTATTTTTGATATATATTTAGAATCAACATATAAAATTGATTTTGAAATACATGTAGGGAAAAATTAGAAGTCAGAGGAAATCCAAGTCTCCAGATTCCATGCACGATAATTTGTAATTTACTTTTTTAATTCTAAACCTTCTATAAGAAAATGTATCGTACATGCACAAACTACACTCTTAACCACCCAGTTTACAAACAATAATGGAACTGATGACATGAATGTACTTGTTTTACATGCTCATCACAACAAACTTGATCACAAAGGTGTAGAATATAAAGTCATAATTAAATTCTCTGACACCATACATAATCAATGAAAGTTTTCTTTTATGTAATTACAGCTTTCATTAATATACCTATTACCACACCTTTTCTAACCTTGATTTTGACTACTGTCATCACTATTCCTCCATTTCCCTGTGTAAATAATATTCATTTTGATGAATTTTTTTATCCTTTCCCTGTTGTATCATATTTTTGTAATTGTATGTTTTTTATGATTTTTATTCTTCTAGTTCTGCTAAGTGTTTAACCCAATCACAACGGGTCACGTGTCAAAGGCCTTGTCATTGCATTAGTTGACTTGCATTCAAAATTTTATTGAACTACAATTTTCTAAATCTATGTCAATAAGTTTGCTATAAAACTGTAGATCATAATTCCAATTTTAGTATTAGATGTTAGTTGATTTATTATTTATCATACCTTACACAATTTCATAATTTAAAAGTAAATATTAAAAAATACAGCTAAACATCAATTTTTATGTGTCATGTGGGATGTTGAATGTAGCACTGGTTCAAATTAAATGTTTATGATGTCAAAATACAAAATTTACATTTTCATACAAACTGGGAACTCAAACTACTGATACTGATAAGCTAGAATATAAAATAAGAACCTCTTCTCTTTTCTATTTGCTAAGATATTGCTCCTGTAGTGAATCAAACACAGTGGCCCCCCACCCACCTCTTTCCATTTTTGAAAATACTCCCTTATATACACTTACTTCTATATATGACATGAATAGCCAATCAAAATCTCAGAATGTCCCCCTAGTGGTTATCTCAGTCATTTTGAGGTGTTATTGTGTTAATTTCATTCTTTTCACACAAGAGTTCAAACAATGAGGTAGGTCTTTAGACCCAAATACAGCTTAGTTACTATGCTTGATAAATCATAGTAGAATTCTATGGTATCTATATAGCAATTTGTGATTTTTTTGGTTATTTAAAATGTATATATAAAACCTATAAAAAAAATTCTTTTCACATCCTCCACATGGGTAATTTCATAAGGCTTAGCAACCTATGACAAGCAGCAAACGAGTAGAAAGCTCATAACTAAGAGAGATAATTGTTTACTTTTACTTCTTTATTTACTGTTCTATGTTTTAAGAAAATAAGTTTAAGGACTTATTTATAAATAGAAATAATGTATATACATATATAATGTATAATAATTGAAATGTGACACTATTTTACAAAATACTAGTCCGCTAAAACACAGCCAATACAGGTCACTTTGTAAAAACTAAAGGTCACTTATATATTAGTGGATACAGTAACATGAGTGCACATGCGCTGCATCATTGTAACTTCTGTATTGTTAGCCAGGCCCAGCTGGAAGGTCAATATGATAAAAATAATAAATATATATAAATGAATAAGCTATTTCTACAAAAAATTTGTGTTTTCATGTTATAATTTGTAGTTATTGTAGAACGAAAAAAGCAAAATTTACATTTTTTTCTTTATTTTTTATTGAGGTTATGAAGTCAGTCAAACCAAACCAACCCATACAGAAATACAGTAGTGAAAATAACAAATAAAATATAACATTTTTTCTACAAAAAATTTGATAATTATCTGGAGATTATAAAGATTTCACATGTGAAATTTGAAAATGTTCTAATTCATTAAAGTATTTTTAATGTTAAAATCAAAATTGCTTTGCATGTTGGATAGCCAATATTCTGAAAGAAAAAGGTTTACATGAAAATCTTTCATTAAAAATCTTAATACTTATTTAAAAACCTGATATTTTGTGCACAAAAAACCTTGTAATGTTTACCAATAACATGCAAAATTTTGTAAAGATGTGCATACATTATCAAAAATCATAGTATAATTACTCTCGTGGATACGTTCGTGGTTATGAGCTGGGTGGATTCCACCCAGCCTGTAATGGAAGGGTTAATTAATTATTGTTTGTATTTAATTGCTGTATTACAAAGCCAGAAAATACATTATTTCACATACCTCTCTTAGTATATGTGCCTCATGTTCTGTTCTTTGCATGAGCTCTATTTCTCATTACCTTTATTTTTAAATAAATTTAAAGAGTTCTCTACATGTATACTTTTAGTAGCTAAGTGTGATGAATGGTATACGCCTGAAACATAGCAAATAAAACAAGTTTATGTCACAGACGTGTGTTAACTTTTTTCCAATATTTCAACATTTTTCCACACATTGCAGTCTTTTCGTACAGTGTGTTTTGCTATAACTACACCGTTACTCACACACTTTGTAACCAATCAAGGGTAATGAATAAGTATATTAACTGAATAAACTTTATGGTTTTCTTATTTATTCACATTGGTATTCATACTTCGTAAGACAGTCAAAGCTATCACAATTTTATTTTACAGTCATATCACTTGCATTTTCACTTATTCTTGACAACACAACCAAAAATATCTCTTACATGAGAATTCTAGCTTATAAATGATGAAAATTCAATTCTATAACAAATCTGCATTATACCAGTTGCAGGTGCCCTAAAAATACTGACTATGATGAAAACAAATCTCTAAAGTCTACATATTTTTATTAATGTTGGGAAAAATCTACAAGAACATTCACCATGGCAACAGTTAACCCTCTCACTACAGGCTCAGTAGATTACAGCAACCTCATGACCTCAAAGTATCCAGCTGTTTTCATACTATATCTTTTAATATGCATTGTGTATCTTCACAAAATTTTTAAAGCTTTTAGTAAACATTACAAGACTTTTGTGGACAAAAAAAATTATAATTTTTGATGAATTAAATTTATTAGAAATTTTTCCGTGAATATATGGAGTCGGGATGTTACTGCTCCATGTGCAAAGGAATTTTCATGTTAAGATTACAAATACTTTTCTTCATCTTAAAAATATCAAATTTTGTGTGTGATCTTTATAACCTCCTAAATAAATTTCAAATGCCTTTTTTTCAATAAAAATTAATATTTTATCTGTTATTTTCTTTATCCTAACTCTATACAGGGTTGGCCAAGCTGACCAACCTAGTAACCATCATAAAAAATTAGGAAATAAATCTAAAGTACTCTTTTTTTCTTTACAGAATGACTGCAAATTGTAACAGCAAACTACAATTGTTTATCCTAAATAGCTTAAAGCTCATAACAAGATATATCTGCTTATGCTTAATTTTATTGTTTTATTGCCCTTTGAACAGTGCCTAACTAATATCAGTGCCACACAAGCAGTAAATAACTTGGCAAATGTATAGCTTACATTATCTTAGTGGATTATGTAATGCATAGGCTACTCACAAGTTGCTGACGAACATGCCTCGTGAAAATTTATATTATTCATTTTACCTAATCTAATCTTATCTATCCTAATTTTTACAGTTTAGTTACTTTTATAATAACAAATAAAAAATACACATGAAAACCAAGAAATATACTACTTACTTCGATCTTCTTTTTTTTACTGTCAACTGTCAAAACTTAACTCTACTATTATTTTTCGTACGAATGGTACTACTGCACTAAATAATCTTTTATTTAATGAAATAATGAACTAAAGAACACAGCAGAATAACACGTAAAAGGCAGACAATGTCCTATAAGTATCACATTTTTTCTGGCTTTCTAACTATGCAATTAGACATGCATGGAAAAGGATGCCTGTAGAGAGAGGGTTAACACTTAATTAGCCAAAGCATTGTCAGTGAGTGCTGCCTGTCAGTTGCTTTTCCTCTAGTCAGCAGTTAAAAATTAGTGACAGTGGCAGGAGATAGAATGAATAAGTTTAGTGGCAGTGAAAATTGAACTCAAGATATTCAATTCATGAGGACCCCTTCCTCTCAATTATGTATATTTGTGCTTAACAGCACACAAGCGAAATGAAAATGTTTTGATTCCTTGAACAGGTGGAAAAAAAACTGAAAACAGTAAATATTCAGAAACCCTAATTTCGATTAGATGATTATTTTTCAACAATCAAGTTAATCATAATTCACCCCCATCTAAACACCATAGACTTAAATATATTCTAATAAAATAAATATTATGATCAAATAAAAAGTTCAGTCTACTACTGCACTTAATAGTATAGTAACTCAAAAGTAATGTTTGTAGGTAAGTGTCAAGACATCTACACATTAGCAAAAATCAAACCATACCATAGACCATATTATAATAAATCACACCACATCATTCCACAAAACAATTTAGTGAAAAATATAAACCAATAGTTATTAGACAATAGTAAAAAAAGCAACTTAAAACTACTCATTTGTGCAATAACTGTAATACTTATTAAAAAAAACAAATTATAGACTAATTTTGGTGTTATTTTACAAATCCATGTAAAAAGAAAGACAGCAATGTATATTTTATATGATTTTAAAGTTTATAATGGAGAAAGTAAGAATCTGATTTAAATGAAATTTAAGTACATTAGATTGTACTGGAATTGAATCTTCTATGAAATACATTTGCCTGAAATCTCTGTGCTGAAGCTTTCATTTAAGAATAAAACTTAATGCAACACACAATTTCATCTGTAAAGACCAAAGAAGACTCAAAACAAAGAATTTTTATAACAATATGTGGAAAATTGCAAAAATTTTGAATAAAACATGCGAGATGTGTTTACAATCTTAATCGGAAACTACTACGACAAGATTCTAGCACTGTGCAGCTAGAATAGCTGTTAGAAAATCTACAATATTGGTGTATGCTTGTTTCTATATTTATATTCTAATAAGCACTTGTAATTTTATAACATCATTACTGATAGCAAAGTGCCTGTTGAACCTATCCAAGTAATTAATAGCCAATAGAACCATGCTTTCATAAAAGCACTTTTTTCAACATGATATACATCTGAGTGCTCAAACAGGCTTCACAAAAGTTAGTTTACTTAAAAGTAACTTAAATATTACTTGAACTTTTCAAATAATGTCTTTAGCTTCTCTTAAGAATACTAGTCTAAGTAGGTTTAAATGTGCACACACACACATATTATTGGAGTGTTATTTTAAATACCACAAGAATCTTACTAGTGGACAAATTTCTAGGTTTGCATCATATATTCTAGACATCTCTAAACATCTAAATTATAAACTCAAAATATTATTTCATACTCAGTAACTACTGACCTTTCCCACTGAGGAAAAAAATTCCTCCAGGTCTCGGCTATGTATTCTTGGGGACAACTGCATGCATAACACTGTTCGCAGATCACGTTCTTCAGCACTCATTTCATATGATCTAAATATAAAAATATTCCTAATCATTCAAACTCTGCAAATTACAAACAATGTAATGCAGTAACACACTATATAATTAAAGAACTCTTTTACAGGGAGTCATTAAGAGACAAAATAAAAGATAACATTTCCTGTTATAATGTTGTGAACAGTATTTTCCTTAGTTCATTTGTACATTAAACAATGAGAGAGAGATGATAAAAACTAATTTTGGCTTGGTGTTGCAAATGAAGAGGAACCTACTGCAAAGACATCTGCAAAGGTTTACACAAGGTACAGAATAAATACAATAAGTTTCATGTTTTACAAAACTGAATATGATGGAGGCATGTTCTGTTGTAACTTATGCTGAAAAGCTAAACTAAATTAAGCTTGTTTTTAATTTTAGTGACATTATTATATCATATATATATATATAAAACACATGTATATATAAAAGTATGTATAGGTACATAGCATCTGCTGTAACTGAACAGGGTATTTGGGAAATGTACTATAGAAAAACTTAATTTCCTGGTGCAATTCTATCTGCATTAGTGAAAGCAGATAAATAAATATTTTATGAAACAGTATACAAGTTTTCACAATTTGTATTAGCCTTCTTTTGTTTCACTTACCACCAACAACTGTAGTTTAATAATGTTCCATTTTTAAACTAGATTAACTCAGAATTCATCCAAATCTGTCAGCTTAAATTCTAATGTGGATTTATTAAAATATGTTTGGTAGGTCATTTGGAAATTGTTGGATTAAAAAATAAATTACAGCATGAAAGGGGATCAGATTTTCAAAATATTGTTAATACATGCAGAAGGTTTAGGGGGGTATCTGTCGAAAGTATATTAAAAAAATAGCTTTGATTCTAACATGAAATTCCTTTGACTAATTTCAATGATGCTCGAAATGAAAAAGAAATAAATATCTATTACTTTGTTAAAACTGAAAAATACATATTTTTAAACAAATATAACTCATACCTGTCAAAAGATGGTTGTCTAGGAGACAAAGGAAAAGAAGGCATTCCTCCACTCCTATGTCTTTCTCGATTGTAGCTCCTACCAAAAATAATAATCATCATCAGGAAAATATTTTTTGAGCTAGTACACACTTAGATTACCATATCAGATCAAAACTGACACTGAACTTCGATTACAAATTTCTTCACACAAAGTCAAATTTTAGGTTAATTTGTAATACCTTTTACCATTTATTATTCTCTATCTATAACCCAAAAGAAACAAACAGGGAAATCTTGACTTTCTGTTAACACATTTGTTAGTAAGGTTTTCAGAATATATTGCTAAAGTTCTTAAGTCTATAATACACCATCTGTTCTAAACAGATAATTAGAGGATAACTTAAGATATTGCTTTTCTAATTCCATTCTTATTTTTCTCTTTGATGATCTTCAAGCTTTGATCAGAAATTAGTAGCTTTTGAAATAGGAATAATTTTTAATATAGAAGCACGTTTTAGCAAATTCTCATGGTGTTTAATTAGGAGATGACAGACACCTAGCCAAATATCATTTGCTGCATTATATTGTGAATTTCATAGGTCTGAGTACGTTATATTGACTCTCTTGCTATGGGATTGGTTGAATCAGCCAAGTTCATCACCCCAAATTGACCCTTATAGTTTCCATACTATAAATTCTAATATGTTTTGTGAATCTTCACATTTCGTAAGCCTTCAGTAATTATTATGAGTCATTTTCAGACAAAAAATCGGAATTTATAATGAAGTATTTTTACTACTAAACTTTTACATGAATATATGGAGCCAAATTGTTTACTGCACTGAGTGCAAAATGATTTTCATGTTAAGATTAAAAATACTTTTCTTAATCTTAAAAATCTCAATTTTTTTTGCATGATCTTTAAAACTTCCTAAATAAATTTCAAATGTTTTTTTTTCAATAAAAATTCATATTTTATCTGTTATTTTTTCTACCTAACTTTATACGAGGTTGGGTTGGTTCGTAACAATAAAAAAAAATCTGAATTACCCTTATTTTCTTTCTAGAATTACTTCAAATTGTAACATGAAACTACATTTGATTATCCTAAATAGCTTTAAACTCATAACAGTATACATCTGTTCATACTTAAATTTTATTGTTTTATTGCTCTTTGAATGGTGTCTAATTAATATTTGCATCATGTGAGACACTTGGTAAATGTGTAGCTCACATTACCCTATCGTATTATATAACGCGGAGGTTGCTCATGAGCGTACTTCATGAAAAAATTATTAATATTTATTTTATCTAATCTAACCTAAAAAGTATCTAATTTTTACATTTTAGTTACTTTTATAATAGTAAATAAGGAAAATAGTGTGAAAACAAGAAATAAAGTATACCTGGAACTTTTTTTTTTCTGTCGACAAAACTCAATCCAACTTTTTTATACTAACGGTACAACTATATTAAATAGTTCTTTATTTAATTAAATAATGAACCTAAGAATAGAGAATAACAACACAAAAGTGGACAATGTCCATAACTATCACAATTTTTCTGGCTTTCTAGCTATGCAATAACAGCTGTTAAAAATTCAGCTAAGCTCATCAATGCATTTCCCATGGGAATAAAGTTTGAACTGGAAGTGAAACAGAAATTCTCTGTACAGGAAACAATGTAATATAATAGGTCATTTGAAAGATTAAAACCTTGGATTTCTATTGGTTATAAGTAATGTAGTATTAAATGTCAGAGAGAACTATTGGCAATTTCTGAAAGAGATAATGTGACAAGTGGCATGGCAAGAGGAGTGTCATTTTTTATTTTATTGCTCTGTAACTAAATAAGACTGAAGGCTATAAAAATGATGTTTTGCCTGAGCAATGACAACATTATAATGAGTAACTTGCATTAAATTTCATACTTCTTGGAGGGGGTGGTAAATAAATTAGAGAAGAGGGGATACCTAAAAAAATGTCAATTCTCATAGTAAAGAAAATTCAGGATTTCTTTTAAATATAGTCTTATAAAATTAAGAACATAAAACTTGTATACTATTAAAATTTGAATTATTTGCTATGTTTTTATGCTCTACTTATTAGCATACAATGGTAAGAAAGTAGTTTAATTAAATTTTGAATGTAACTCACTTAAACCTCATGACATGTACAGAAAAAGATGCCCATAGCAAAAGTGTTAAAATGATTTTTGAGCCTCATCACATCATCCCAGTCTTGCTCTACATAACAATCATACATCTTGACAATAGCCTTACAGGACAGTTTCCATTGAAAAAGGCTCCATCAAGGCTGTTATGCACAAAGCATACCCCTCCTCCTAGTTGGCTTTCCATAAGTCATCTTATGTATGAAGAGAACGGTTTCCAAACACCAATTTTAATTGTCTGATTGCACAGAAATCCACAGGTGATAAACCCAGCAACTTGACTGGTATGTCTTAGAACGGAATTGCATGAATACCAATTTCAATTTAAAAATTGTGCAAGATATGTCATGGAACAACTTGTGTCACTTGTCTACAGGGAGATACTTTTTAATTATGTTGTATATTGTTGCCTTGGTCACAAGGATGCTACTGGTAGCATCACACTATCTACAAAATGCCAATGTTAAAATATAGTTCTGACACATTCCATTTCACCTGGACTTTATGTTGGCTGTGGCAGTTACATGACTTTCACAGTTACATGTTCAAAATCATTTTTATATAATGTACACAACCTTGTATTCCTATGATATACTATGAGCTACTTAGTAAAACAAACACTTTTGGGATATATTTTCAGAAAGCTGATAAAATGTTGCTTCAAAGTGCTTGAACAGTAACAGATTTGAGCCAGTAGTGCAAAATATTAAAATATGACAACTGCAGTATTATTTCAAAATAAAATAGCATTTCAATGTGCATTTATATTTTAAGAAAAATTATTCATAAGTGCTGCATATATTATATATGTATCTCTCAGTAATTTCTCTAACTTCATTCATCAAGATTTTATATAAATCAATTAAGTGTACCAAACAAAATTCTGTACTCTAAATGAATGTTTAAATTTCTGATGCTTAATCAAACTTTAAGAATAGTGACAAGTGTCATGGTCACTCTTAACCCAACTGACATGGTTCACAGGTCAAAGGCCATGTTATCATGTTTGTTAACTCACATTCAAATTTTATTGAACTACCATTTTTGAATGTATGTCAGTAAGTCTGATATCAAATTGTAGATTATAATTAAAATTTTAGTATTATACATTAGTTAATTTCTTAATTTAAAAGAAAGAAAATCTTAAATATCAATTTTTGTATGTCACATGGTATGTTGAATGCAGCATTGATTCAAATATGATGTTTGTGATGTCCATATACAAAGTCTATAGTTTTGTATGAATTAGAAATTCAAGTTACCAATATTAACAATATTTGCTGAGATATCGCTCACGTACTGAATTGAATACAGTGGCTCCACTTACCTCTTTCCATTTTTGGAAATGATCCCTGATATATACATAGTTCTCTCTCTCT